TCCATGTTGATTCCATCTGTAGCTGTTTCTGTCCCTGGTACTTGTGACACTGTAAGCAATACATGTTTACCATAACAGACGAGAGAACAGGGATAAGGAAACATCATTATGGGATATTGTTTGTGACCAACCATGAGATAATGGACCTTACATTTTTGCTTTCCATTTTTATATTTTGAAACTACATCGTTAATGCGCTTATACATTTCTTAGACACTGGAAGTTATAAAATAGACTTACATGCTAATGGAAATGCACATTTCCTATTTGCATCTGTCACCAGGCAACATGGAAAACGGCCACAGATGTCACAGGTAAAGTTGTACTTGTGATCGCACATTGCCTCAAAGTGCAGATATCCCTGTAACATTTTGTCTCCGGGAAAATGTAAGCCGGAATCTTCTGATAAGATGTCGGCAGCCCTTCCTACGGCTGTATGATTCTGAAACCATTAAGCAGGCGAAATTGATCACATTCATTATGCCGATATTTTAAACTAATCCTAAGTTAACAGTCAAAAGTGTTTAAAGTCCGAATGTCACCGGCCCACATCAAGTGCATATATCAACAAACAATGCGCCATACAACAATCAGATATCACGATCACATAAATATGCAAAGTGTTGTTTTGGAGAAGGGAGTCGTCCATAAACTAACTAAATTAGGTATAATGTACCTTCAAGTTAACTCTGAACCAGTGGCACAGGCGAACTGACAGGAACACGTGGTCGTCAAAATTGTGTATACCATCCCTGTGCTCTTGGTACCTGTAGAAGTGACCGCACGCTTTGCACTTCTTTATGAAAACAGCTATATCTGACAATGAAATAATGTAATTAAAACATTGTAGAGAAAAGTCATATTCAAAATCATACTATTATGATACACTATACAGACAATCGCACCCTTGTGTTTTTTATGCCAACTATATCAACACGGTTCAATAACAGTTTAAATCGCCATAGCTTGCCCAGTTTCGATGGTAGACAGATTAGTTATGCCATTAGATAGTTATGTTGTGACAACTTATGACGTCACAATAGTCTGGAAAGCATTATGATGCAGTTTCATTGAAGCAATATGTCCTAGGTAATATCGCATCATCTCACCCAAGCAATATCACCTGTCGGATTACAAATTACAGTCCACATTCATAAATTGGCTCTCATTTGCTAGGAAGTAATTTTCATTTGTTTGCATAAATTGTTGTAAGGTATTTACGGTCACCATACATACCTGTATACACATGACCTTTATCGTATATCTTCCCCTTTCTGGTTACCAGGTACTGGTCAAGTTCTCCTCCATCTGCACACATTACACAATGTGTTTCGATAGGCGACAGGTTTTCTAGATGTCCTAATTGGGCATTTTCCGGAACTTTAAAATCTGGTGGTATTTTCTTCCTGGACATTAGATAATTGGCCATTAAACGTGCACCTTGTCCGGATGGTGGGTATGTCTTACAGAAGCTGCTTCCGGAATCTTGTAAGGTTCGGGTTTCAAAGGTGACCGATGTTGTTGGTTCCTCGCTACGATAATGTCCAACTGATACCCCTTCATTCTCACTACAGATGTAACCGCTTCCCTTGGAGCTAATGTGCAGCAACTCTGGGTGTTCCTGTGCCAAATACCATTTGACAAGAGTCTTGTGTACGCAAGATTTGGTGGTTTTACAGCAAACGCAATTCAGCTGTCCTTTGTCCTTGAAGAATGTGACTACAGCGCGACCGAGTTTAGCCCAGTATTCCTTCGTTCCATCATACACGGAGAAATAAACGCTGTTTACAGAGTGCTTCTGCTCCCATAAAACGACGACAGGTATTTTGCTTTGTTCTGCAGTGCCTACAAGCTTCTGGGCAACCTGCATGTTAGTAGAATGTATTACCTTCTGTTGACAAAGATTTTCAGCATGTTCTGACTGGAGGTGTACTTATTTCGGGCATTCACTTGCAAACATAACTGATTGCAAATGGGGGCACTGATAAATACCTACATTGCCCCTTGCTGCAACACCCAAAGCTAAATTGCAATTTTCATGTTCACATTGTATCTGCTGTGTGACAGTGTTCATTTGTACATGAAGTGGGTAATCTGGAGCGATACTGGACTTGCTGATCATGTAGAGACCGCGGTGTTTATCAACGCATATTCCACGTTGGTATGACTTGGTTTTCACTTCATCCCGTGCATTGTGTGTCTCAATATGTCTTTTAATGTTTTTCTTAGAGATCATTGCATTGCAGACAAAACATGTCTCTTTCGGAACTTGCTCTCTCTTCACTTTTTGGATGTTAGGGGACTCTGCTGAAGTTCTTTCCTCAGAAGCTGTCTGGTTTGTTGTCAGAACAAAAGGGCAAACCGTGGTCGTGTGTCGGACAAATGTGAACTTTCTCCGAAAGAGTTTACCACACGGGCAGTGGTAATGGCACCGGTCTTGTTTCGGAGTACAATCCAAAAAGCAGCTTAACACCCATAAATCTGCAAGGACACAAATACGGATTATTATACCGGACCGCCTCCGTGGTCTAGTGGTAGAACGTCCGCCCGGTGAGCGGAAGGTCCGGGGTTCGATCCCCGGCCGCGTCATACCAAAAGATAGTACTTGTTGTTAACATGTCTGGCGCTCGGCATTAAGGTGCTAAAACAAGGACTGGTCGGCTCGGAGTCAGTATGCTGTCTCTGTGTGGGGTATTCATGTTAAACTGAGGCATGGTATCTTAGTGAGCTAGCACTTTAAAACGGCATCAGTCCGGACCAGTACAAGCAGCCACTCACACAAACACGTGCATGCACGTCACTAAATAGTGCAATAATCTTCGAGGCGACGTTAAACCCCATTTTACCTCACCTCACCTCACTATTATACCAGATAAAATGGTGCATTGGGCTTGTGAGGTTGTGTAATGGACACCGTTTTACACGTATGCGTAATGCCACGTATACGCTAGGTACATACCACGCAATATTAGATTAATAACAAACACCAATTTATACATACCCCCAACTTACACGGCATGTTGTGTGTGCTTGTTTATGTGTCCTTCCTTGACATTGTACCGCCGTGACGTTGATTCTGGACACAGTTTGCACTGGAATATTCCATCAACTTTAGCCAGTAAACTCTTACATGTGCTCTTTTGTGTGCCATATGTCTTCATTCTGTAGACAAAGGTAGAAAGTGTAAAATCAACAAGTTTTCAAAAGAAGTCCTATTTTTCTATTGCTTGAGACTCCAGGACACTGAGTGGTGTAAAGCCACTTACATTTATGAGTACTAAATGAAACATAACGCGTCGATATCCATTATCTTCGCCGTGCATTTATGAAAACCTGTAACCAACTGAAGGTAGGGTGCTACAATGTCTAGGTTACATGGCCACTGTAGATAATAATACTCACGTTTGTTTCACAACGTCCATGCCTGGAAGAAATAAAATAATGACAATATATAAACATTTGAAGAAATGTGTACAACCATTAGAATTCTTAAATTTATCTTAACACTGTTACCAGTTTTTAGCACAAGGTGTAGGCAGTTTCAACTAGAACCAATGTCTTTATAACTAGGAATATATGCTCTTGGTTTATGTATATCACAATTCCATTAACGAGTTTCAGCCATCTCTTTCTATAACCATATATAGTACGAACAATATAGTTAACATATACCATTACTTTAATTTTCTTATTTGTGTGTTAGTGAGTGAATGAGTGCGTGCGTTCGTGTGTTCGTGTGTACGTGTGTGTGTCTATGCAAACGTCCCAATTGAAATAGCCTGAAAACTTAGTGGCACATCTGTGAGGCTCACATGTTTCGCATCGAAAAGGTTTAATATACGGGTTTGAAATATTATAAATATTATTATCTCTTTCCTTTACCATTTAGGCATAAAATAACTTTAAAACAGTCGCTCTATACCCCCTTTAAGAAACTATATTGCTTCCCTTTACTACATGGGGTTGTCTATGCAAACGTTCTTATGGAAATAGCCTGAAAACTGAGTGGCACATCTGGGAGCCTCGCATTTTTCGCATCGAAGTAGTTTAAAATACGTATTTGAAATACTATTTTCTCCTTCCTTAACTGTTTAGGCATAAATAACGTAAATGTATTCGCTCTACACCCCGTTTGGAACGCTAAAATACGGGTTTAAAATAGTATTAGTTCTTTTCACATTCATTTAGGCATCAAATAACTTAAAAAGAGTTGTTTAAAAACGCACTTTGGGAAGATATATAGCTTCGCTTTGACACGATCATCGATCCCGATTACGTGAAGAGATGCGCATCATATTAATTACTGGATTGTCTGGTCCAGACTCGATTATTTACAGACCGCCGTCAAATAGCTCGAATATTGCTGAGTGCAGCGTTAAACAACCAAACAACCAACCAACCCAACCAACACGAGGGGCTGTCTATGCAAATGTCCCTTTGGAAATGGCCTGAAAACGTAGTGGCACATCTGGGAGCCTCGCATTTCTTGCATGCAAATAGTTTACAATACGTGTTTGAAATACAATGTTCACCTTCCTTAACTAGTTAGGCATAAAAAAAAGTAAACGGAATCGTTCTGTGCCCCGTTTGGAAAACTATATTTGAAATACTATTTTCTCCTTCCTTAACTATTTAGGTATAAAAAAACGTAAAAGGAGTCTCTCAATACCCCCTTTGGAACACTATATGGCTTTCCTTTAACACGGGGGAGATTATCTACACAACATCCCTTTGGAAATAGCCTGAAAACTTAGTGGCAAATCCAGGAGCATGGAAATAGTTTCAAATGCGGGTATGCAGCATTATTATCTCCTTCCTTCCATAAGAATGTTTAATGACATAACATAACATAACAAAACATAACATAACATAACATAACATAACATAACATAACATAACATAACATAACATAACATTACATTATGTAAACATAACATGAGAAAAAGTAATATTCAAATGAATGTATTTTACATAAAAAGAACAATAGATACTCATTTCCACTGCGCATATGATAAAGTCAAACCTAAACGCCCTTCACCCTACCGTCATTCAATACGTATTGTCCCCGACATGAAAGATACGTGGAGTGCTCTTCTTTATGAAATTTAAATATTTTACGTTTCACATGCGAGCACATACTAATCGAAAACCATTTGAAACCCATTAAACAAAACTCTGGACATATTATACCCGCAAACATGGAGAAAAGAAACGCCTCTATTTTAATAAATTACTAAAAACTAACACGTGACAATGTACATGTTTCCCAAAGTGGCATTTTGAAAGCAAATCCTGCTTCCTTTCCACGTTGCACGAAAATTTAAAAAAATAGTACGTACCTTGCAAGAAATATTTTTTTGGACATGATCCAGTCTTGAAAGTTACATAGCCCTGTTTGTGAGTTCTCAGCGCTCTGTAAATATCTGAGTCTTATTGAGAGTCTGTTGTGAGATGCCCTGGGTATGTTAAAGGCTGACCACGGCCTAAGTTTCAAACATCTGTAGCTAGCTGGTGTTAGCACTTTTATCATGAGGCAGGATGTTCCTTGTTTATATGTATCAGTTAGCCCTGTCAACTTCATGAACCTCATTCTTACAGAATGTCAACCGCATGCCCCATTCTGGGTTTCAGGTAGTATGTGCTTATCTTTTAGGATCTCACAGAAGCACTAAATGTGTTATCCAGTTATTGCTGTGACATCTCTAACTCCCTAGAAACTCCTCTGGGATCTGGAACTTGCCACAGAATGTATCACGTCACAATTAACAAACAAGTCCCCTAACAGACCCTAAAAGGAAAGAGTCTAGAGTGTCTAGACTTCTTGTTTCCAAAAATGAACATATTCATTCTGGATTAAGAAAGGGCTACCGAACATCAAGTAATGTATTTGTTCATAAAATATTTATTTAATAGTTTTAACAAAAAGTAAAAAGAAAAATGTATACACTTCCTTTGTAGACTTTCAAAAGGCCTCTGATTCAGTTGACAGAGCACTACCCCTAACAAAGCTATTTCAAATAAAATGTCAGGAAATAGTTCTTATAAAGTGAAAATTGACGGGGCATTTCACAACCCTTTAAATCCAACATCGGCATAAGACATGGGTGCATTTTGTCTCCCAGATTATTTAATATATTCCACAATGATCGTCCACCACATATCAAACAAGAAAATAACAAAATAACACTTAATGTTTTAAACATTTGTCATTTGTTGTTTGCCGATGACTTTGTACTTTTTGCCACTTCCAAAAATTCTGCACGAGTTATTTGATGGTCTAAGAGTATTTCGTGTAACAAATAACCTAAAGATTAAAGGTGAAAAAACAAATGTTGCAGTGTTTGGCAAATCAAGTAAAATAGAAGAAACGAATACTTGGACCTTGGTTGGTGCAAAAATTCTAGTTATGGATAGATATAATTATTTATGAATAACATTTGAAGCAAATGATAAACTTAATAATAGCGCCAAACCTTCCTTGAAATTGGGCCTAGGTACTACCATAAGCTTCAGTCTACCAATAATCTACCCAAATCTGGGGTATAGACGCAACACCCCTAGTCTGAACAACTTTGATTAATTAATCCCCGAGAAACTGCGGCGCCGATGTTGTATATCCATGTTAGGTGTCAACAAAACAACACACAATTGGGCAAGGCGAGCAGAACTAGGATTCTATACTCTTATGTACACAGTACTAATATAAATTACGAATTGCTATCACTATGATGGTTCTTCAACATAGTGAAATTCTGCTTTACCCACTAGGCTCCCCGACCGCCCCGTTCCATGTGATAGGAAAGCCCGAAGTGATGCAGGTGTCAGACGTTAACCACTTCGGTGAAACCCACGAGCACGGTTGTCGTACTGACCAAATCTAGAAACATAATCGGGGCGAACCGGGATTCGAACCCACGATCATAGATTTCTGGCGTGCCCAAGGGACGCGCTTTTCTGCACAGCGAATTGCTGCGCCTCAGACGACTCGGCCAACCGTGCCCCAAAAGGTGCAAGAAAAAACTGAGGACATTCAGGACAGTTAAAAATGAAATAAAATTAGAATCATATTTCAGTCACTGTAAAATAAGAAAATATCGAGTGCACTTTTCTAAACTAGGAGTAAGTAACCATAAATTAACTATAGAACTTGGAAGACATACAAAGCCACCCACCCCACTACATCAGAAACTATGCTCTACATGTTCAACCATTGATGAGGAAAGACACTACCTACTTTATTGTATCAAACACACGAAAGAAAGAAATATACTCTTTGGAAAAGTATCCACACAAAATGTAAATGTCCACAATAATGAAAACATATTATTTCACCACATCCTCTCAAATATTGAGCCATCAACATCAATTGCATATGTTTCAAATGGATGATGTCAAGCAATAGATTCCCGTGGATCAACCTATGACATTTTATGTATAATATCATCAAATCTGTACTGTTGATATTTTCTATGCATTAAATTATTTCTTTGTGTTTTCAGG